CACACACACACACACACGACGCGCGCGACACACACAACAACACACACACACACACACAACAACACACACACACACACAGACACACACACACACACACACACACACACACACACACACACACACACACACACGTGTTTACAGTTGTACAGAAACGCTGGGAATTGCTAAGCTTGCACACTTTCACTTACACCACCCAGAAACCATCTGGTAAGGATGACAGGGCCCACAACCACTTATTTCTGAACGAACTGTATTCCGCTGCCATTGGAAGCTTCAGTTCCATCAGTGTGTCGCAGGTTCCAACATCTGGCAGTTGTTGGCCATCGGTGAATGTGACAGGTATTTTGCCACACGAAAACCCACCAACAGGAATAACACCTGCTCATTTCCTTCTGAAAAATCAATATTGGTGTTAATTGTTGACTACATTGAAAAAAATGGCAAGTTAATATCTTGGCTGTAATCAACATGCCGCTGTGATGAACAACAAATATCTTATGTGGAAAAGTTAACGGGTATCTTCTTATGATATATAATAGGAAAGTGAAAATTATAGTGTACTACATGCAATCTGCTCATATTCTCCAATAGACCAATAGTGTTATACAGATTTCGGTTTGGTATGTAACGAGGTCTAATGATTTTTTTATTTGATTTACCTTCGAGAGCTGTAACAAATCTTGTGAATTGACTAAACGCCATATCCGTACTCCTGATGCCTGCGGGTGTTTCCCACTGGGCTGAAGCCACACTGGAACAGTGTAATCACTCTGGCAGCGGTCAGAGGTGCATGGGTGGAGAGCCTCGCGATATCGTTATCAGCAAGAAGCTGAAAAAACATATGAAGCGTATAAATGAAAAAAAGCTTACGTGTAGGCACATGCATTGCTGTGTGTTATAGACATCACCACGAAAGATTTCTGTGATGCTGTTTGTTATGCGGCAGTAGCTTTCTGACATGCTTACAGCATGGCAGGTAATGCAGTTACAAGTGTATCACTTCATTGTATGGCTTACTGTGTTAACTTTCAAGGCTTCAAGGCCGTCCAAAAATTCCCTTGCCCACTGGTGTGATGCTGCTTGCTGAACTGGCAACACGAACGGTGGACAGATTTCGGCTTGTACTATTGCTATAGCTGGAAACATCCAAAGAATTCTTGGTCAGACAAAAACGACAATTTAATTTGCCTCCTCACTCTCACACTCACTTGTAACTCTAAAGCTAGTAAAAAACAAACTCATTATATCCACTCATACATACAAAGCGTACGACCGTATACGATACATACGGTCAAACAAGTGGTCACTACTGATCATACTGTGTGTAAAGAATGAATAGATCAAAACCACATCTTTGCGTAATATACGCGCGCGCGTCTATGATGGGAATACAACTTGTTGAAAAGGTGCTCACAAATTGCCTATAGCTGCTTACCACAATACATTCCGGCAACAAGAATTTTCTCCACGTCAACCTGCGCAACCTGCGACATCACTATCGTCTCAATCGCCTTCAGCACGAGACTGAGGAATTCTCGCTGAGAGCCTCCCTGGTCCACCCTAACCTCCGTGTTGAAGCAGACAACAAGTGACCATGCAATTTTCTCACTGTAATTACAAAATATTTTCATAATACAGTGTAAATATTAAAAAGAGAAAATGACATACCCATAATTCCTCAATTAAATTCAGCCTATATTTGGTCTTTACTTCCTGAACGGAATGAGAACATATGGAATAATGGTGGTGCCATCGTTGTCTGCATCGACATCCTTTCCAAGTGCTATTCACTGAGTGCAGTGCAACCAACAAACTGAACGAAGCTGTGGTTTTTAAACATTGCTGAAGAGCTGTCACACGTGTTGCTAAAAAACAATCGGGAAACAAACCGAAAAGAAAGAGTTGTTCCAGAACGGAAAGCATCTTCGACTTCAGTAAACCGAGACACAAAGATGGTGTTGGCGCAGTCGCTGTCTTCCCATGCATCTTCGCCAGTGAAGTGCATAACTGCAACTTTGTGCTGCCGCAGCTTGACACAAGCGATTTCTAAAGAAAGTTAAAAATTGCATTTTAATATTACATCTTAGCATTTAAAACATATTATGTCAAAGTAATGATCAAGCAAACTGCAGAGCAGCATCATTACAACATATTTATGCAAAACAGATGTACATAAAACTAGGTGATTTCTGCTGTACTAGTGCTCAATTGAGTTTCACATTAATGGGTTGTTGAATGGTGACTACACAGTCATTTCTGTTAGTGAATTGTAAATTACATTTAATGTTATTGAAAAATGATACAAATTGGAATTGAAGAGAAATAAATGTCATACCTCGCTGACGACGAATCTCTCTAGGTGTCTGCAGAACTTGTGCAGCTGGAGAGCCTGCTGCCTGCAGTTCACTTGGAGTGGCCAAAGCGGCCTGCTGCGGTCCACTTGGAGTGGCCGGAGCAACCTGCTGCTGTTCGCTTGGTGTGGCCTGACGTAGTTCATGTGTGCGACCTTCAAGTGCATAAACAAAATCATGATGACAGAAGTTTTTATTAGTATAAACGGAGGTGAGATAAACTCTAAATAATAACTAAACAATGACGATTTTGAAAACGTACTTTTTGGTTGATAAAGCATCTACCCAGTATAAGTATCAATGTTTTACTTTTGATGGGCATGCCGATATGAAGACCTTTATCGCATTTCCTTACCTTCAACATTAACTTGAGCAGGTTGCTCAAGTAGCTCTTGTAGACTGCCGTCGTCATCAGAGTCATAATGTTCAGCACTGCCAATGAAAATTGAACCATATTTGACGATGGCCAGTCAAAGCTATTCCAATTGACCTGATACTATTGATTAGCAGCAATAAAAATTATCTTAATTTTCACTGCAGCACAAGTTTGTGAAACAGGCGAAATCCACATAGTAACACAATATATGTATTAGATATTCCACATAACATGTAATTAATGTTAATCACCACGAAAGACAATGTCAATGAAATAAATGTCAGGTTAGTAAATCATGCCGTAACAATGGGAAAAAATGCTACAAAAAGACATTCACAAAGGCAGTGTTGTTATAAGCTGCAGCCGATACTTTCTTCAAGGTGAGCGAAAAATGAGCTTTTAAAGTTACAAGAATATTAGCATAATAATAACAAGTTAATCATATAAGTATTTTACGACCAATCTACTCCTGTATACCCGCGTGTACGTGCGTGTACCCGCTTGCACGTGCGTGTACCCACGTACACGTGCCTGTACCCACGTGTACGTGCGTGTATCTGCGTGTACGTGCGTGTACCTGCGTGTACGTGCGTGTACCCGCGTGTACGTGCGTGTATCTCCGTGTACCCACGTGTACGTGCGTGTATCTGTGTGTATTGTACGTGCGTGTATCTGCGTGTACGTGCGTGTACGTGCGTGTACCCGCGTGTACGTGCGTGTATCTCCGTGTATCCGGGTGTACGTGCGTGTATCTGCGTGTACGTGCGTGTACCTGCGTGTACGTGCGTGTACCCGCGTGTACGTGCGTGTACCTCCGTGTACTCGCGTGTACGTGCGTGTATCTCCGTGTACGTGTACGTGCGTGTATCTGCGTGTACGTGCGTGTACGTGCGTGTACGTGCGGGTACCCGCGTGTACGTGCGTGTACCCGCGTGTACGTGCGTGTATCTCCGTGTATCCGGGTGTACGTGCGTGTATCTGCGTGTACGTGCGTGTACGTGCGTGTACGTGCGGGTACCCGCGTGTACGTGCGTGTACCCGCGGGTACGTGCGTGTACGTGCGTGTATCTCCGTGTATCCGGGTGTACGTGCGTGTATCTGCGTGTACGTGCGTGTACGTGCGTGTACGTGCGAAATACAAATTTAATACAAAATATTAAATGTAACAAGGGTTTGTTTTTTAATTTAAATATTAAAGTTTAAAAATTTTTAACATTTAAATTAAAATTTTAATTAAATTTAAATATAAATTTTAATATAAATCCATAAATTTTAATATAAATTTATATTAATATATTTTAAGTACAATAATAAATTTCATGACAATCGGCGTAAAAAGTGCAGAAATTACAGGTTTCTAGAATATTTCGACAAAAAATGATTTGTGTACCATGGCAACATGACTCACCAACGCCCACACCAAAAACATAGGCGTCTTTCGACTTTTACGATAACGCACCTTCAACTGCGAAATTTGAAAAATGCAATCCGAGAAAAACTGACAGCCGGTAGAGCGCGTTCACCAAGGAAATATCTGGCGGCGGCGGCGGCGCA